GATTGAATTCTATAAAATGAGCTGCTACAGGGTAATTTAAGTTTTTGCATCTGATAGTGCTTCTATGTTCTGCAATACGTGTTTTTAAAGCCCTGCTGGTTTTTCCTACATAGGCTTTACCACAAGGACAAGTGATCATGTAAATAACAGATTTTGTATTGCAGGATATAATTCCTTTGATGGGTATAACTTTACCAGTGTGGGGATGCTTGAAATTGGTGCACCGATAGGTGTAATTGCACTGACTACATCCACCACACCGGCGATTGCCATCAGGGATAGGAGTCAGGATAGTTTGGCCTGTAGTGGTTGGATTTGGGGGAAGATAGGAATGTACAAGTCTATCCCTCAAGTTTCTTCCTCTTTTGTAGACCACCAGGGGCTGCTCTTTAAAAGCTCCCCCCAAGGCTGAATCAGTCTGTAGTATATGCCAGTGTTTTGATATAATCTTTTTGAACTGTTCAGCAGGTTTAGAATAAACAGTAGAGAATATAGTCCGTTTTGAGGCAGTTTTTGGGGGATTTACCCTAAGAAAATCAGATCTTGGCTTACCCTTGATTTTTGTGGCAGCGTCATTCAGAACAGTTTTTTTTTTTTTTTTTTTTTTTTCTTTTTATATCCTCTTTGCTCAAAGTTTGTCGTCATGTTGCCTAGATTTCTTTCAAAGTCTTCATTATTGTGGCATATTCTCCTAAGCCTACAAAATTGGCTGTATGGGAGACTATTTTTCAGTGGAAGTGGATGGTTGGAGTCGGCTCTTACACAACGACAAACATGATTCTGATTTGTTAAAAGTCTTCCTGTTGGTCAAAGTTGTTGTGATGTGGATTTATTTCAAACGTTATGCAAAAGAAAACAATATAATCAATAAACAAAATAAAAACTAGACACAAAATAAACAGTTTGAAAAAGAGGCTGGAAGAAACAGACGTTTATTTGGCTCCAACGCAATCACACACGCGCAACTATCTCTGGTCTCTCTCAAGTCTTTCTCTCTTGTCTCTCTCTGGTCTCTCTCTCTGGTCTCTCTCTTGTCTCTCTCTGGTCTCTCTCTTGTCTCTCTCTGGTCTCTCTCTTGTCTCTCTCTGGTCTCTCTCTGGTCTCTCTCATGTCTCTCTTTGCCCTCTCTCTGGTCTCTCTCTCTGGTCTCTCTTTGGTCTCTCTGGTCTCTCTCCGGTCTCTCTGGTCTCTCTTTGGTCTCTCTCTGGTCTCTCTCTGGTCTCTCTGGTCTCTCTCCGGTCTCTCTGGTCTCTCTCTCTGGTCTCTCTCTCTGGTGTCTCTCTGGCCTATCTCTGCTCTCTCTCTCTGGTGTCCCTCTCTGGTTTCTCTCTCTCTGGTCTCTCTCTCTGGTCTCTCTCTCTGGCCTCTCTTCTCTGGTCCCTCTCTGGTCTCTCTCTGGCATCTCTCTGGTCTCTCTCTGGTCTCTCTCTGGTCTCTCTCTGGTCTCTCTCTGGTCTCTCTCTGGCCTCTCTCTGGCATCTCTCTGGTCTCTCTCTGGTCTCTTTCTGGTCTCTCTCTGGTCTCTCTCTGGTCTCTCTCTCTGGACTTTCTCTCTCTGGCCTCTCTCTCTGGCCTCTCTCTCTGGACTCTCTCTCTGGACTCTCTCTCTCTGGCCTCTCTCTCTGGCCTCTCTCTCTGGACTCTTTCTCTCTGGCCTCTCTTCTCTGGTCTCTCTCTGGTCTCTCTCTCTCTCTGGCCTCTCTCTCTGGCCTCTCTCTCTGGCCTCTCTCTCTGGACTCTCTCTCTCTGGCCTCTCTCTCTGGCCTCTCTCTCTGGCCTCTCTCTCTGGCCTCTCTCTCTGGACTCTTTCTCTCTGGCCTCTCTTCTCTGGCCTCTCTCTCTGGCCTCTCTCTCTGGCCTCTCTCTCTGGACTCTCTCTCTCTGGCCTCTCTCTCTGGACTCTCTCTCTCTGGCCTCTCTCTCTGGCCTCTCTCTCTGGACTCTTTCTCTCTGGCCTCTCTTCTCTGGTCTCTCTCTGGTCTCTCTCTCTGGCCTCTCTCTCTGGCCTCTCTCTCTCTGGCCTCTCTCTCTGGCCTCTCTCTCTGGACTCTCTCTCTCTGGTCTCTCTCTCTGGCCTCTCTCTCTGGACTCTTTCTCTCTGGCCTCTCTTCTCTGGTCTCTCTCTGGTCTCTCTCTCTGGCCTCTCTCTCTGGCCTCTCTCTCTCTGGCCTCTCTCTCTGGCCTCTCTCTCTCTGGCCTCTCTCTCTGGCCTCTCTCTCTGGCCTCTCTCTCTGGACTCTCTCTCTCTGGCCTCTCTCTCTGGCCTCTCTCTCTGGCCTCTCTCTCTGGCCTCTCTCTCTGGACTCTTTCTCTCTGGCCTCTCTTCTCTGGCCTCTCTCTCTGGCCTCTCTCTCTGGCCTCTCTCTCTGGACTCTCTCTCTCTGGCCTCTCTCTCTGGCCTCTCTCTCTGGCCTCTCTCTCTGGCCTCTCTCTCTGGACTCTTTCTTTCTGGCCTCTCTTCTCTGGTCTCTCTCTGGTCTCTCTCTGGTCTCTCTGGTCTCACTCTGGTCTCTTTCTGGTCTAGCAATACAGTACAAATAATAATGATTCTGATTCGGCCAAAGAGGGCGGGGTTACACATTGTCCATCATCATTAAAGAGGATAATTATGTCTTATTTCTGGATTACCTTCGTGATAAGTGCTTGACTTTGATGTCTTGAACAAGATGGCGCCTCGTACGGTCGACATGGCTCTTTGCTGCTCTCTTTTTCTTTTGTTTTTACTTTTTAACTGTGCATCTGGCTGTTCCTACACCCGTGAGGAACTTATGAACATCCGACCCACCGTTCCCATGGACCTATTGCCTGTTTTCTTGGCATCTGCGGCTGATTTAGTTCATGTTCTAGCCAAAAAAGTGTGGGCCCGTAAAAGGGGAAAGCGAGGAGGCCTGCTCGTGCGTCTTAGGAGGAGAGGAGCGCGCACGGCTCTCCCCGGCATTTTTCTCTCCAACGTACGCTCACTGGGCAATAAGATGGACGAACTCAGCCTGCTCATGAGAAGAAACAAGGACTTCGCCACATCCTGTGTCCTCTGCTTCACTGAGACCTGGCTAAATGAGCGGATCCCGGACTGCGCTCTGGAGCTGCAGGGCTTTGGGCTGTTTCGCGCGGATCGCCATTGTGCGCTCTCAGGGAAGAGCAGAGGCGGAGGGCTCTGTTTCTACGTCAATACAAACTGGTGTAACGATGTGACAGTGATCTCCAAGCACTGCTCTCCTGCTCTGGAATATCTTTTCATTCATTGTAAACCATATTACTCCCCGCGGGAAATTGTTTCATTCATTCTTGCCTCTGTTTACATACCGCCATGCGCGGACGCGCGCGAGGCTCAGCGCGCACTCGCAGAGCAAGTACTGTGTATGGAACGTTTATACCCGGACTCTCTGATTATTATCCTGGGGGATTTTAATAAGGGAAACTTGAGCCAGGAATTACCCAAATACAGACAGTTTATCAAATGCCACCAGAGAGGAGAACACTCTGGATCACTGTTACACCACCGTGCGCGGAGCTTTTCGCGCTGTTCCCAAGCCAGCCCTCGGCTTCTCAGATCACTCCATGATACATCTGGTTCCTGCTTACAGACAGAGACTAAAGCTCTCGAAACCTGCAGTGAGGAGCTCCAAAGTGTGGTCTGATGAAGCTGTGGAAGAGCTGCGCGCATGCATGGAATCTACAGACTGGGACCTTTTCAGAGCTGCCACAGACAGCTTGGATGAATATACGGACACTGTGACGTCATACATCCACTTCTGTGAGGATAGCATCATTCCAACAAGGACCAGGGTCATCTATAACAACGACAAACCCTGGTTCACTGCTAAACTCCGGCAGCTCAGGAAAGCAAAGGAGTCTGCTTTCAGGGAGGGGGACCGCAGCGGCTACAAAGCAGCTAAATATCAGTTCAGGAAAGAACTGAAAGCAGCCAAGTCCCGGCACAGAGAACGACTACAGGAGCAGTTTGGTAACAACGATACTGCTTCTGTCTGGAGGGGCCTACGGGAGATCACCAACTACAAACCCAAAGCCCCCCCCTGTGCTGATGACCACAAGCTAGCTGACGATCTGAACTTATTTTTCAGTCGCTTTGATGCTGCCCCTGACACCTCTCCCTCCCCCACCCCCCACTACTCTAACGACCCACCCATCAGCCCTGCCCCCAGCCTAACAATAGCCGCAAAGAGATTAAACAACTCTTCCTGAGGCTGCACCCCCGCAAAGCTCCTGGCCCGGACCACGTGTCTCCGGCCACTCTGAGACACTGCGCCAGTGAGCTTACTCCTGTGTTCACGGACATTTTCAACTCCTCTCTGCAGTTCTGCCATGTCCCGGCCTGCTTCAAATCCTCCATCATTGTCCCCGTCCCGAAGAAGCCCAGGATCACAGGACTCAATGACTACAGACCTGTAGCACTTACGTCTGTCGTCATGAAGTCATTTGAACGCCTGGTTCTCTCCCATCTCAAGTCCCTCACCTCCCCCCTCCTGGACCCCCTGCAGTTCGCCTACAGAGCCAACAGATCTGTAGACGACGCCATTAACCTGGCCCTCCACCACATCCTACAGCACCTGGACTCCCCGGGGACCTACGCCAGGGTCCTGTTCGTGGACTTCAGCTCTGCCTTCAACACAATCCTGCCATCCCTGCTCCAGGACAAGCTCTCCCAGCTCAACGTGCCCGATTCCACCTGCAGATGGATCACTGACTTCCTGACGGACAGGAAGCAGCGAGTGCGTCTGGGGAAGAATGTCTCGGACTCTCGGATTATAAATACAGGAGCCCCACAGGGCTGTGTTCTTTCTCCCCTGCTCTTCTCCCTGTACACCAACCACTGCACCTCCAGCCACGACTCCGTGAAGCTGATCAAGTTCGCGGACGACACCACCCTCATTGGACTCATCTCCAACAACGATGAGTCCGCCTACAGGAGGGAGGTGGACCGGCTGGTGTCCTGGTGCAGTGGTAACAACCTGGAGCTGAACGCCCAGAAGACAGTGGAGATGATTGTGGACTTCAGGAAGAGCACTGTCCCCCCGCCCCCACCCTCCGTGATGGACTCCCCCATCACCTCTGTGGAGTCCTTCCGTTTCCTGGGCACCACCATCACCCAGGACCTCAAGTGGGAGCCGACCATCAGCTCCCTCATCAAGAAGGCCCAGCAGAGGATGTACTTCCTGCGGCAGCTCAGGAAAGCCAAGCTGCCTGCACAGATGTTGGTGCAGTTCTACACGGCCATCATCGAGTCCATCCTCACCTCCTCCATCACCGTGTGGTTCGCTGGAGCCACAGTCAGGGACAAACAGAGACTACAGCGCATTGTGCGCTCTGCAGAGGAAGTGATCGGCCGCAGCCTTCCATCGCTGCAGGACCTGTACGTCGCCCGAGCTCGAGGCCGGGCTGGTCGTATCACAGCCGACCCCTCTCACCCTGCACATGGACTATTCCAACCACTCCCCTCAGGCAGGAGGCTGCGGTCCATCAGGACTAGAACCTCCCGCCACAAGAACAGTTTCTTCCCCTCTGCTGTTGGACTCTTGAACACTTCTTAACCTGTCCCCCGCCCTTTATAAAGTCACTTTACTGCCCATCATACGTCACTTTACTTCACTGTACTGCTGTCACCTTACATTGTGTGCACCATGTGCACTTGTATATTGTAAATAGTAACTGTAACTCTATTTTAAATTTAAATTTATTCTTTAGAAGTGTTTTTTATTCTTATTTTTATTATCTCTTTTTGACTGTTGCACTGAGCCAAAGCAATTTCCAAGTCTGTGACCTCCCGTTACTTACGTTGGCAATAAAAATGATTCTGATTCTGATTCTGATTCTGAATGCACTGGATCCAAACTAATGAGGGCACATGTGAAACCAGCACGAGACCCACTGTAACCCTCTTATTTTAACCAGTGCCACATTTTAATTGTCATGGAATCATGTTGGGGACGTGTCTCTACGCCACATATCTCTGCGGGAATTCTGATTTGAATAAATAAAAGTATTTGAATAAATAAGTAACGTATCACATCCTGAGATATTAGATCTACACACCTCATGTTTTTGGACAAAGTATTTGCTTAAAAGGCGTTTGTTTCTCTCTCTGGTCTCTCTCTTTGGCCTTTCTCTGGTCTCTCTCTGGTCTCTCTGGTCTCTGTCTGGCCTCTCTTTGGACTCTCTCTGGTTTCTCTCTGATCTCTCTCTGGTCTCTCTCTCTGGTCTATTTCTCTCTGGTCTCTCTCTCTGGTCTCTCTCTGATCTCTCTCTGGCCTCTCTCTCTCTGGTCTCTCTCTCTGGTCTCTCTCTGGTCTCTATCTCTGATCTCTCTCTGGCCTCTCTCTCTCTGGTCTCTCTCTCTGGTCTCTCTCTCTGGTCTCTCTCTGGTCTCTCTCTCTGGTCTCTCTCTGGTCTCTCTCTCTGGTCTCTCTCTGGTCTCTCTCTCTGGTGTCTCTCTGGTCTCTCTCTGGTCTCTCTCTCTGGTGTCTCTCTGGTCTCTCTCTCTGGTCTCTCTCTGGTCTCTCTCTCTGGTGTCTCTCTGGCTCATGTTATTGGACAAAGTATTTGCTGAAAAGGCGTTTGTTTATTGATTTGATTTGATATCTGTCAGCTACATTTTGATTTCCAGCTTCAAGAATGAGCAGTCGTAAGAGTGTTGCTTCTCATTTCCTTTTATTTCATAACGTCCTTTGATTTCAGCGTTGCCATCTTCAATTTAGTGAGGCAGCACTTTTTACAGCTTCACTTTCTTGCTTCCAAAATGACATTTTTCAAAGCCAAAAGACTGACACCTGTGGTATTTCCGTGCGGGGCTGTTTTACTGTGTGTTCTCTTTTCTGCAAAGTCATCAACATTTCACTTTCAATCTCAAACCCTGCCTCAAAATCAAGACAATTTACGATCTCATAATAGTCTGAAGTGGTGGCCGTGACAGATGATTCGTCCGCGGCCATATTGAAAGATCCTATGCGACGTCTCACTCTGCGCAGAGCTGTCTGGTGCGCTGTCCATGGTGCTGAATGTCAAACACCAGTGCCCTTACACACGCAAGCACAGCGATGGATGCGGCACTAATTAGCCGGCCTCTCGAGTCCTCGCCAAGCCTTCCCAGTGGCGCCGGTGCCAAACAGAATTATTAAAGAGTTAGGGGGGAGGACACACACACACACACACACACACACACACACACACACACACACACACACACACACACACACACACACACACACACACACACACAGAGCCATAGCCAGGTTGAGTCTAACATCTTCATCAATATTAACACACGCTACATTCAGTCTGTGTAAGGCGTATTTCGTTTCCGCGGTCCATGAAACTTTCATGTGGATCCCATAATTAAAATTAAAATAATTATAATTCCTCATTTAAACGAGCGCTTGTCGGAGCAGCTCAGATCATTTGCGGCGGCGGCTGGCACGACCGGACCACGTGGTTACAGTCGGAAGCTTCACATAAAAACGGTTTGGAGAGAGACGGACAACACCACCGGCTTCTTCTTCCTCTGACATGTTTCCTGACAGATACAGATTCATTTAGCCAAAGTCAAGCCACAATTTCATCTCAGTAGAAGTTATTCATATCTTCAGGCGTCATTAGCATCATTAGCATCATTAGCATCATTAGCCTTATTAGCCTTATTAGCATTATTAGCATTATTAGCTTTTTACAGACAGAACAGTGAAAAAGTCATGATAAGGAAATGATGTTAGGTACCCCAGCTTTAAACACTGACTCCATTCATACTCTCTCTCTCTCTCATTCATCATTCATACTCTCTCTCTCTCTCTCTCTCTACCCCTCTCACTCCCCCTTTCTTTAATACATACTAACTTGGACAGCTCTTCCCCTCTCCCCCACCCTCCCCATCCCCCCCTCTCTCTATCTCTCTCCCTCTCTCTCTCTCTCCCCCTTTCTTTCCTACATACTAACTCAGACAGCTCCTCACCTCTCTCTCTCTCTCTACTCACTCTCTCCCACTCTCTCTTCTCTCTCTCTCTGTCTCTCGACCCCCCCTTTCTTTAATGCATACTAACTTGGACAGCTCCTCCCTCCCCCTCCCTCCCAACCCCCCCTCTATATCTCTCCCTCTCTTTCTCTCCCCCCTCTCTCTTTCCTACATACTACTGTAACTCAGACAGCTCCTCACCCTCTACCTCCCTCCCCCCTCCCCCACCCCTCTCTCCCACCTTCTGTCTCTCTTCCACACACACCAACCTGGACAGCTCCTCACCTTCCTCTCTCCCCCACCCCTCCCTCCCCCCTCCCTCTCTCTCTTCCACACACACTAACCTGGACAGCTCCTCACCTTCCTCTCTCCCCCACCCCTCCCTCCCCCCTCCCTCTCTCTCTTCCACACACACTAACCCGGACAGCTTCTCACCTCCTCTCTCCCCCTCCCTCTCTCCCCCACCCCTCCCTCTCTCTCTTCCACACTTACCCGGACAGCTCCTCACCTCCTCTCTCCCCCACCCCTCCCTCTCTCTCTTCCACACTTACCCGGACAGCTCCTCACCTCCCGTCACCTTCCTCCCGTCGGTCCCGATGCCTATTTGCTGATTTGTTTATATATTTATTAATTCGTTTAAACTCGCCGCACAATCCAATTTTAGTTGACATTTCTTGCGGAGAAGCACACGATGACCTTTGCAAATGGAACACATCCTGCCGCAGACGTGAGGCCGCGCTCACACTCGCTGCATTCAAAAACAACTCCTTTCTTTCCACTCTCTCCTGAAACACAGCTCTGGGTGTTTGTCTTTGCAAATATTGTGAAAATACTTTGGACAAAGAGTGGATTCTCTCAGAAACATTATCACCGCTAAAGTACATTTTACTGTCAAGGCCTCGCCATAAAAGCATCACACACTTGTTTTGTTCTGTGACTCAACAGCACTGAATAAAAAGGGTTTTGGTATCTACAAGAACATGTACATACTGTGTATATCTCTCTCTCTCTCTCTCTATATATATATATATATACTGTGTATATATATACTGTATATTCACACACTATACATGTATCCACATACTGTACATATGTTTGTAGGGGGTGACTCTTGGTTTGAGTCCTGCTGTCGTTGTGTCCTTGGACACTTAACCCACTTTGCCTGCTTCACTGCTTGCCTTGATGTGTGTGTATATGTGTGTGTGTATGTATATGTGTATATGTGTGTGTATATGTGTATATGTGTATGCATCAAACTGAAATTTCCCCATTGTGGTACAAATAAAGGACCTTCTTCTTCTTCTATACATATATCCACATACGATATATATATAGACAGACATGAACTATTGCCTCGAAACAGGGACAAGTCATGGAAAATAACGCAGAAGGTTGTTGAATATACAGCGTTGGATGATCAGCCTATTTCTGTCGTCAAACACAGGATTTTGTCGTTTGATGACGTTTTTGGAGCCGAGGTATGAACACCTTTCTTGAGGCTACATTTCACAAACCGCAGTCCCCGAGCTCCACAGTCAGATTCGACATGTCGGCAGTATTTTCCATCAGAAAGTTTTTGGTCAGTTATGAACCAGCACTTTTCTGTTTGTTTTACTGACTGTCGAGGGCAGCTTTTTGATAATTGTTCCTCTTTGAAATCTATTTTTAAGTAAATGATTAAAGGTGTAATATTTAATACTGATTTGATTCTTATGACCAACCTCAGAAGTTAAGTTCTGTCAAGTCAAATGTTATAATAAAAAAACATTTTTTCCTTTTGGTAAAGGAAACAAAATTTTTGGGAGTCATCATTGACGAGGACCTAAACTGGAAATCTCACATACACTATACAAAAGGAAAATTAGCCAAATCAATCTTACCCACACAGCATTAATTACCTTATATAATTACAATGATTATACCATATCTAAACTATTGTGTCAAAATTTGGGGGACAACTTTTAAAACATATACACAGCCAATATTTATTTTACAAAAAAGAGCCCTAAAAATAGTGAACAACAAAAGATATCGAGACTCATCAAATCCTGTTTTTTTAGAGTGTAAGGTGTTAAAATTTTATGATATAGTGGATTATAATATTTTTCAGATATTGTATAAAGCAAATTGCAAATCATTACCCGCAAACATTCAAGAGAACTTTGAAAAAAGACAAAGTCAGTACAATCTGAAAGGAACTGATATCTTTTAAAAAACCTAGATTCAGAACAAAAGTCATGGAAAGAACAGTCTCAGTGAAAGGAATCAACTTGTGGAACGCACTTAACAAAGACATTAAAGAGTCAAAAAACATAATAGTTTTTAAGAAACAAATCAAAACTACTATATTCAGGACATATGAGAGTGTTACATGAGAATAAAATCTGGATTTAAATTGGTTTGTTTTTGAAGAAATGGAAAGTAAGGTGTGATACATAAAGTGTAAGGTAAAGTGTAAGGTAAAGTATTAAGGTATGTATTATGTAATATATGTGTAAATAATGTAATTTGTTTAAACTGTAAAAGGGATGTGTAAAAATCATTTGGAGCAGTTAAATCTTTTAGATGCAATGGACAACTCTTAACCATGAATAGCACATGACCAAGATCTATAGTGCAGGAAAACAAGTTGTCATGTTGTGATTGCCATTACTGTTTAAACAGATGCAAGTAAATCAGAGCAGACGAGATATGGTTGGATTGGCGGGCTCCCTTTTGCCAAGCGGCCTCAACACCTCGTTTTTAACGCACCACACAGCAAGAATATACAACGCAAATTTTCCTACATTTCCATTGGTCAGGGAGGTTGGGAGTGGGGCGGGTTGAGTGGGGGCTATTACCTTCTCTCGACTGGCTCATTCTACCCACTGTTTTTAATGCACTGCACTATGTAGGGTCTACATACATAACCATGTTAACATTAAATAAACAGCTTTGGGTAAAAATGGCAACAAGTGACAAGTGACAACAAGACCTAAGAACATCATTGGTGCGAAATCAGCATTTAAAATTACTATTCATGGAGACGAGTGTAAATTGTATATCTGAGAGAAATATGCCTGTATATCATTTGAACTCCTGTAAAGTGAAAAGTTTGTAACAAGGGGTAGGAAGCATAAGTTTCACTTCTACCTACTCCTTTTCGAATTATGCATATATATGTTTCTTCTTTTTGTTTTGTTTTGTATTGCGCATGTAATTCGAAATAAACACTACTACTACTACTACTACATTTTAAAGTAATACTGGTTGCAACATATTTAATGCTTTGAGCCTTAATGTACAGACCGAGCCTTAATGGACAGACCCTACGTGTACATCCCTACATACTGTATATACTCATACTGTATATATATATCCACATACTGTATAAATATTAACTTACACATATTTATTTGTTTTTGTTTGGATGGATGTGTTTTTGCTGTTACCGGACACCTGCATTTCTCTGACAGGGATCTATAATATCTATGTTTCCACATTCACATACTGTACATATATATATATATATATACACATTCACACTGTATATCCACATACATATATCCACATACAGTGCCTTGCAAAAGTATTCGGCCCCCTTGAACCTTTCAACATTTCGCCACATTTCAGGCGTCAAACATAAAGATATACAATTTTAGAGACTGGGACGGAGATTTATCTTCCAACAGGACAATGATCCAAAACATAAAGCCAAATCTACAATGGAATGGTTCACAAATAGACGTATCCAGGTGTTAGAATGGCCAAGTCAAAGTCCAGACCCGAATCCAATCGAGAATCTGTGGAAAGAGCTGAAGACTGCTGTTCACAAACGCTCTCCATCCAACCTCACTGAGCTCCAGCTGTTTTGCAAGGAAGAATGGGCAAGAATTCCAGTCTCTCAATGTGCAAAACTGATAGAGACATACCCCAAGCGACTTGCAGCTGTAATTGCAGCAAAAGGTGGCACTACAAAGTATTAGCGCAAGGGGGCCGAATAATATTGCAAGCCCCACTTTTATTTGTTAAAAAAGTTTAAATTATCCAATACATTTTGTTCCACTTCACGATTGTGTCCCACTTGTTGTTGATTCTTGACAAAAAAAATTATTTTTATATCTTTATGTTTGAAATGTTGAAAGGTTCAAGGGGGCCGAATACTTCCGCAAGGCACTGTACATATATCCACGTCCACATATTCACATTCACATACATGTATTCACATATTCAAATACATACACTGTATTTAAATACTGGGCTATAAAAACATTTTTGGAGGATATATTGTATAAAATCTCTCTCTTTCTCTGTTTTTAAAAGGGACACAGCGTTAATGCAGTCATGGGTCAAATGTCCTTGTTCCTCTTTGAATTAATCCTATCCAACCATTTTGAAATATATTTAATTAAATTGAAAGCCTAGTTTAGCCATCACTACTTTGTTTTAGGTTAAGATTTAAACATTTGTGTATATCTGCAATGATTCATCACAAGAACCCCGCAGTAATTAATGAAGCAATAAGTTTACATTCCTTATACCAGCTTCCAGTCCCCAATATTTAAGCTAGCTGCTCGTTAACACATGCGCCAATGGCTTTTTAAAAAAACCCACATTTTTTATCACCATTTCAACTGCATTTTTGTCGATCCACAAACACAACCCGTATCAAACCCCACACACTAAACAAGCCGTCGCGGTTTCATTTTTTTCAGTTTTTCAGCCTCTACCGCAAAAACTTTTCCCAATTCAAAGTTCCGAATCGTTAATTGGCTGCATTTCTCTCATTTCTAAAAACTTATGCAACCACTTCTTCAATATCACACAACACTAAAGATCATTTTCCGACAGAGACGTCCTGATGTATTTGTGCCAAACCTAGATAATTTATTCACGTTTTTTGTCTGTTTTCACCCATCTGCCACGTCTATTTTAAGCCGCGCTCTCGCTCATGGTGTGTTTGAGCTGTTGATTCTACGTAAGTGTATATCATGTCTGTTCTGCGTTGGCTAATTAGCGGCTGTTTGGCCTCCTCCTGCCTCTCGGTCTAATGTATTCCTCTCGCTCCTCGTACACAGCTCCTCTGGGACACATCTCTTTCAGCGGAGACTTCAAATTCCAGGCTGCATTTTTACATCTTGTTACCTTCCTCTCCTCTCCAACGCTGTTTTAACCCCTTCTGTACCTGCCATTTCTAAGTAAACGCCATCTCCCGTCTCTCTATCTATCTTTCTAGTCTCTCTCTCTCTCTTGTCTCTCTTTCTGCTCTCTCTCTGCTCTCTCTCTCTAGTCTCTCTCTCTACTCTCTCTCTGCTCTCTCTCTCTGCTCTCTCTCTAGTCTCTCTCTGCTCTCTCTCTCTGCTCTCTCTCTAGTCTCTCTCTGCTCTCTCTAGTCTCTCTCTCTCTGCTCTCTCTCTGCTCTCTCTAGTCTCTCTCTCTGCTCTCTCTCTGCTCTCTCTCTCTAGTCTCTCTCTCTAGTCTCTCTCTCTACTCTCTCTCTGCTCTCTCTCTAGTCTCTCTCTGCTCTCTCTAGTCTCTCTCTCTGCTCTCTCTCTAGTCTCTCTCTGCTCTCTCTAGTCTCTCTCTCTCTCTCTAGTCTCTCTCTGCTCTCTCTAGTCTCTCTCTCTCTCTC